TCTAATACAAAATCAGAATGGCTTCATCAATAAGTATTATCAAAATACACTGTAGGGAGGAAGTTCATTTATCAGAGCTCTTATCTTTTTTCTATCATTGGAAAGATATCATCATACCTTTAGTCACCATTTACTTCTAGAATTTTAATTACTTATTTTGTGTAGTGAATCCTACTGCAACCCTAGTCCAAGGTGCCTGAGGCAGAAAAACTAATTCCAAAGAAAAGGTATAAATAAAAGAGTAAAAAAATGATTTGGAAATACACAAAAATATATTGGAAGAATGTTTTTAATAAGTTGAAGCTCATCCACAATCTCTCAAGACATTGTCCTTAAAATTTTGAAAATAAAAAAGAACAGCACCCACTGAGAATATAATACGGAATATATGTCAGATAACAGCATTTAAAGAAGATATTTCATGTGAACTAACATGGAGCTTCAGGAAGGTTTCTTATGCACAAATAGATGTTATACAAGAGCATGGTATAACATTCTTTTTTAGTGCTCTTTTAATAAGACCTGTGCAAATGTTCTTGATAGAAGTTACAGCTAAAACTGCTTGTTGAAGTGTATCATCATTCAATTATTATTAGGATTTGCGATTTATTTCTAATTTGTTATCACAAATATCATTCCTCAACATATTATACGTTATTATACATATACAAACACACATATATATGTATGTGTACAGACACAAACATATAATGTCATTGTTGACTTTAGGAGAATTGTATTTTATTCTGAGCCTTCTCTGTTCAGTCACATTTTAGTATAGTTATAGTTATATGAGTATCAATAGGGAGCATCACTAATAAATAATATTCTCTATAATAAATTATATTATATTAAATGTTACTAAATCTAACATGCTTGTGTTGTTCAGGACCTCTTTCTGCAGTGAAAGACTGGTAACACCTATCTGTAAGAGAGTAGGTGGACTGGTTGGTCCATCCATCCATCTGCATCTTAATGTTATGCAGTGATGGAAAACAGCACACCCACGAGAAAATAAGTGCACATGAACCCACAGCAGCCAAACTATAATGGCTGAGATAAGGCAGTTTCTTATGAGGCACCAAGTTGTTGAGCTGGAATTTCTAGAAGAAACACAGAAGAGTCAGTTGTCTAAACAACAGCTAGATACTCTTTCGTACATTTTTATCAGTGATATACCTGCACACTCTCAAACAAATGTTCAAAGGCTCTGGGAATGATACCCTTCTGAGAAGGTGGATCCAGAATCCCTTGCATGGTAAAGGATTTCCCACTGCCTGTCTGCCCATAGGCAAAAATGGTCCCATTATAGCCTTCTGTAACACCCTGAAAAAGAAAAAAAAACAATCAATCTGAATAATTATAATCAATTTGAACTTGTATGTTTCTACCTCAGTATCTGTCCTGTCTTACTGGATCCTTTTTCTAGAAACCTAATCAGACATATACTTGCTTGACTAAATTATCCAAGAGTTTCAGCAGTCTCTTCTCATAGAGACAGAAACAGAATCTGTAACTGGAAATTGAGAGGCCAACATTCAGGTCCATTATCTAAGCATCTTTGGGCAGGTGCTTCAACAAAAACAAAGATGCAAGTTAATAGGGGAAGTATTCAGTGGCTTTCAGAAATATATCACTTAACTTCATGTAAATTCTGCAACTGACAGATTTTGAACAAGCAAATAGCATAGCTTGCTCAAACGTAGAAATAGCATTCTCATTATCCTCAATAAAGATTGGCCAAAATTCTATATCGGAGTAAGAGATGAAAGAATGAGAAAGTGTGAGGGAAAATAAACTTGATAATCTACTGGGGTAAAGAAGTAACATTTGCAGTCATGTTTCTATCTGGGAACAGAAATTAAAGGGAACTACATGGGTTTTTTTTCTTGGCGATGACTGGGTATGACTGGTTTATGTGACACAATTTATCAGGGAAAGTCAGTTTAACCTCAAACAAGCCAGGGACCATTTTAATTGAAAACTCCAATCCACAGTTGATTGGTTACCCCATTCTTGGCATAGTCAAGTATATTGTGCAGAAGTAGACATACTGTCGCTTCTGAACCACATGTATAGATGTTGGGTGTTCTCAGCCAATTTTAACCATATTGATCCAATTTAAATTATATTAATCCAGCCACAATTTACCATGATCTGCCTATATTTGTAATATTTACGTACTGTAATTAATTTGTTTGACACCAATAACAGTTAATCACTTTCACTCACCTCTATCACTGGATAGGCAATTTCATTGTAGATCTGTTCCGTATTATGGTTCAGGTAATATGCCCCATCAAAAGTAAATTGTTTGGGAGGATCATCTTCAGCTGCAGGGTTCTGGATGAAGCACTGACCACGGGCACTGTCCATATTAATTACTACCTTGCAGCCAAGCTGTTTTTCACGTTCATTCAAAGGGCGGCAACGCACAATCACTTTCACTGCTTCTGAGGCCATGACCAAAACCATGAACTCTGGCTTGTTGTTGTTTGTTTGTGTGTGTGTGTGTGTGTATATACGCACTAGATCAAATTAATTCTAGAGCATGAAGTTCCTACTCACTTCTGTGGATATCAGGAGCAAAGTAACAAAAAAGGCAAGTTATAGGCAGCGATTGTATTCAGATATAACTGGGCTTGGAAACTGGCTCATTTTTCCTGGCAGCATAAGCATTAGAAAACAAATATTTCCTTATGGGTACAGTCAATGCAAACAGATGTGCCTGAACAAGATTGCAAAAGGCAATGTGTTTTCTAGAAAGAAGGGAGAACCACCAACATCAATTTAAAAAATGTCAGGGATGGGAAAAAAACCAGAGGCAATGTTGGGCCTGGATGATGGGGGGAATCTGAATGAAAGAGGCAGTTGATTTTCCTTGGTCTTGCTGAGAGAGAGGTAGTGATATGCTACAGCAGAGGGTTCCAGGTTTCCATCTCCCACTAGGCTGTGAGTTTGTACAGATTCTGGGAACAGTTTTCTATGGGACACACCTAGAAGCCACTTATGACCTCACAATACCTCCTACAGGTATAGAAGGCCAAGAGGTGAAAGGGACACATCCAGCAAATGATCTCTGCTTGTTTCATTCAATGCTTTGATGCTGTAGCAGTGAAAGGAATACTGGACCCCTCCACCACTCTGACTGCAGCTGATCCAAAAACAGGCTTTCAGGATCAGAAACCCTCACTCCCAAAGAGACCTCAATATTATTAGTGACTCTGAATTATTTCCTGCGTGGAAAGAGTACAGGGTTTCCACAGGGAAGCTGGCAAGAAATTAGGCGCTTTTTCCTGATCAGTTTGACCCTAAAGATCACTAAGCACTGTGTCTCAGAAACAGGAACATGGGAAGATGCATTCAGTCAAGCAACGGTCCCCTCAAGCCTGGTGCAATAGACCTAGCTCTTCCATCAACCGCTGCTCTTTGGCAGGATATCAAAGCAGGTGAAATGGCAGTGGAAAGAATAAGACTCCCTTCGGAGTGTCACCTTGACTTTGGTAATCTGTTGTCAGAAAGTGAATGGAGAGTGTGAGGCTCACACTAAGCTTTGGAGCAGTGTCAGAAAAATGGCATGAGCCAAACACACAAAAAGGAGCTGTGCTAAGACATGTTCCAGTATCAAAGAAGTTCCCGGAAAAGTATTTGTGTCTTGATTATGGGGCAGAAGGTTGGTGGCTGAAAAACCACTTTATTTGTATTGACCTGGGATGGATTGGGGGTGGGAGGGAAACGGGGAAATCAGAGACTACAACCTATTTAATATTTGAATGAAAAGGGGCAAAATGATGGATGGGTGGGTGAGTGGATGGGGAAGCTGAAGAAAGTTTAGCAAGTGCAAGCAGGGTGGCATAAAGCAGAATGCCCAGCGAAGCAGGAAGCACAGGGAAGCAATGCTCCCTTTCAGAAGCGGGCAGAGCTTGCCATGCCAAAAAAAAAAAAAACCCCGCGGGCGGGGGGGGGGGGGGGGAGAGAAAATGGGGCAGTAGTGGAGGGTAACACCCGGACCTTCCCCGGACCTTCCTTCCGCGTGCCCGCCTCTCACCGTCCCTTCCAGGCGGGTCCTGGCTTGCCCGCCTGCACCCTCGCCCAGCGCCACCGACTTCCAGCTTCTATTTGCAGGCTGCGGAGTTGCTGACGGCAGCGTCCCCGTTGCCTAGGTTACTAGGGAGTATCGCCCGGCCTGCTCAGCTGGGGCAACGGGCGGGGAATGTCGCGCAATGACTCTGCTGGTTCTTGGGGTGATGAAACAGAGTCTCCCGGAGCCAAATGCAAAGGCCCGTATTGTTAAGACTGTGGCAAAAGCGAGGAAAAGATTTGTGGCACTTTAAAGTTTCTCTGCATTATCACGACATAAACTTTCAAGGATCACACTGAGTTAGATGTTTGGAGTATAATCCTGAGACAGGAGAATATATATATACCCAGAGTATGCTTTTCCTATGATTTTATTATTTCTACCCTCACAATCACAGGTTCACGCTTCGTTTCGTTCCCAAGCTTTGTAATTGGTTTTTAAATGTAAAGGGATATCCACATGTTTAATGTACCCCTGATTAGAGCAAAAATAGACACATTCCTATTTTGTCACTAATTTACGACACTAGTGTCAACTTGTTCTCCAAAGATCCAGCAGAAGGCAGACACACACAACAGACCACGCTGTTTCCATTTAATGGCGACTGGATTTTTGCAATCTAATTCTGACTGGTTTAATACGCGCTGCGGAGAAACCCGCCTGCGGGTCTAATCATGATCATCAACATCGCTTACATTTTCCACAGCACCTTTCTCTAACTTAATATAGGTGCTATAAAAATCCTCTGAGGCAGGGGAAAGAGCATCATGGGACATCTACTGAGAATTCACCCGTCACTTATTAAGCTACGCAAGAGACCCGCCGGATGATTATTTTGGTAGCACACATTGCTCGATTGGCAATCGGAGCTCTTCATCTGGGGAGGCGGAGAGAGTGGGGCGGGGAGGAAGGAAGCACTTCGATGCACTAGAGACCGGAAGTGAGCGTGTCCCGCGTGGTTGCGGCGAGAGGAACCCCGAGGAGAGCGCGAGTGTTATGGGGAGACCCAGCAAAGTGAGGACCGGAGACGGGGGTGGAGGGTTCCTTGAAAGACTAGTTTGGGAGATGTTGACTTTGGGGCCAAGACCAGTTTTGGTGACCGGGGCGGGGGGGGGAGAAGGAGTGTGCCTCGAGAGGCAGTGGAGCCCGGGATGAGTGCTGCAGCTGAATTGGTGAACGATAGGACGAAACAAGATTCGAAGTCTTAATCGGGAAAGCCCGATTAGCGAGTGACGGAAGATTTAGAAAGCTCATTATTGGCCTGCGGCGAGATTGTTGTGATGCACCTATCTATGCCCAAGGAAATTACGAGGATGTGTCTTATTTTGTGAGAAACTAATAATTGTTCGTCCTTGATTAAAATCCGTGCTGATTATAAAGTTGCCCTGTATTAATAGAACCGTTTCACCTAAGTATCTTCCCCCCCCCCCACAACTGGCTTACTCTTCCTGAGTAATTCCAAACAAATGAACTGCAAAAATACTGTAAAATTGCTTCAGTGGCCACCTTGGTTTTGAAATAGTTAACATTCCTTGCTGCTCTGGAGTTTCTAGGGGAATATTCTGTTATTGCAAATTTTAGATTGTTAAGAAAGGAGGCCATGAGAAAGTAACCTGCAATAAGAAAGTAGATTTGGCACGGGGAGGGGGGATATTTGTTCTGTGTATCTTGAACCCTACTAGTGTTAATCTTCATTAAATTCATTTTTCCATTTCAGACTAAGAATCAAAAGAAGGAGCGAGCAGCTTCCCAGCATCGATCTCAGGAAGAATATGGCTCTGTGCCTCACTCCTTTGTGTTTCATCGTGGTCGCATTGGCAAGAATATACAGCAACTCATCCAAGATGTTCGGCGAGTTATGGAGCCCTATTCTGCTACCAGCCTCAAGGTGAAATTATTAAATGCCATGGAAGGCTACTGTGGTCCATGGAAATAATTGCTTTACAGGTAGTGTTTGCTTAACAACCACAATTGGGACTGGAATGTTGATAGTTGATATTGGGGTCATTTTCTAAATTCTATTTGAACAGTTGAAAATCTTTCCAATTACATAAGATTTATATGTTTATGAAAACAATCATGTTGTACAAAACATTTTCACGCTTTATTCAAGTTAGTATTACTAGTGCTTGCATTTTATTTTCAAAGCAGGCTAAAAATGAGATGGGGACAGCAGTTAAAAGCATGAGAGGCTGTAAGCAGAAGAAGGAAAACAACTTGGCTAAATATTGTAACATCACAAAGGCAACTAGGCAGACCAATCTAATCTTTTTTAAAATCATTTTTGCAGTGCTATTTACTTCTGTTAATGAAGTAAAATTTAAATATATTTTATCCTAGATTTTGTCCCCAAAGCACACCTGATAGTGGAATGGCCCTAGTCACAATTGTGTCTTTTTTAGGTGCGGAAGAAGAATTCTCTGAAAGATTTTGTGACAATAGCTGGACCTCTGGGTGTGACTCATTTCCTGGTCTTCACAAAAAACCCCACCAGCATCAACCTTGTAAGTGATATCTTAAGGAAATGTTCTGTTTTAAGAACCTATGACCTTGGTTGTCTGTGCTAACTGGTCTAATTTGGAGCTCTGTTCAATTATATATTTTGGAGAGGATTTGGAGCATATTCTGACCTGGCACATAGGTTTAATTTTCATGCAGTACTGTTACATCTTCTTGCCACCCAATGTGAAGAGGAGATACACCTAGAAGATGGTCATCTCCCTGGTTGGTGTGGCAGATCAGCCCTGTTATATCTAGGTAAAATAGTAAAAATAGGAAAGCTTCACTGTCACTAATCATCTTCTTGAATCAATCAGGATAAAATTTTATAGCTTCTGATAAATGAGCAGGAAAAAGACCTCGGAGCTGTGGCAAGTATGTACATGAGGATATATGCAACATTTGGGATTTTGTTTGCTTTTTTAAAAGGCAAATAAGAGGTGACTTGTGATAAAAAGAAATTGGTCCATATTTAATTAAACATACCAAATGCACACTATTTTATTATATTTGTCCGTATATAACACAGCTAATGAGCAGAAGGTGGTATTTAGAAGGTTCTGACCAGTTCTGGAGAACCGGTAGCTGAAATTTTGAGTAGTTCAGAGAACCGGCAAATACCACCTTTGACTGGAGATTTTACACTATTCTTCCCTTGCCATGCCCACAGAGCCACACCCACAGAACCAGTAGTAAAAAAAAAAATTGAATCCCACCACTGCTAATGAGCAAATGATTTTGAAGTCACAAGTTACACTAGGTCTTCAGTCTTAACTTGGGATGCTGCGTCAGCCACAACTTGAAGAACTGGTTGTAAATTCCCCTTTTCAGCACTGTCATAATTTTGAAAAGTTGGTGAGAATTATCTGTAATAATACTGGAGGAAATGCTGATTATGGAGAAATATGACAAGGAAGACTGCTCATTTTTCTGCTCTGGGCCTTCCTAAGACATTCAGATGGTAACTGTTGCAAAGAAATAAAACTGTTGGACCAAACAAATATTTAACAATCACTATTATATTGTTTGAAGGCTCATGCTTCACAGTGGTTGAATGTTAAACATGTTTCTTCCCTGAACAATTTTTAAATTTCTTTGCCCAGTGAATTATCTTAATTATGTCTGCTTATCAGGTGCAAATGATGACAGTTGTCTTGCTGATTTAATTCTGTGATTCTTATTTCAAAGTAAACGCACTGATGCATCTGTATAAAGAATGAATGAAGCAGAAGTAAGATCTATACACTTTCGTGTTCGGGCCTGCTTTCAGTTGCGGAATCCTGCAATATTAGTATTTAGGAGTTAATACTTCTTCCTGATGATTTCTCTCTTAGAGACTCCTGCGCCTCCCTGGTGGACCAACACTGACCTTCAGAGTCACTCAGGTACCAGAGGGATTATATTATCTGCAGTGGGATAGACTGGGTAGAATTAAAACTGTCTTTGGAATTTGTCACAGAAGGAGATGCTGTGTTTATTACTTTAATTGCTTGTGGTTCCTATGGATAGTATACAGAATTGTGGATGTATTCCCTAATATGTTTGTTGTGTGCTTGGGTGTAGAGTAGTTCTTATTCTTTTCTTCATCCTCCTTTTCCTTTTGTAACATAATAGAAATTTAAAAGCTTTGTGTCTTCATATAATTTATTTTGCATAATTTATTTTCTGTGTTATTCTGGCCACTGCTGGATGTTGTCATTATTTGGTTTCTAAGATTTCACAGAAAGTAGCTTATATATTTTCAAACTCCCACTTACTAGCATGAAGAATATAGGCTTTATGTAGGTTGTTTTAAGTAAAAGCTGAGATCTGGAAATGGTGACATCCCCTCTAAAAAGAATGTATGCCTCACTTGTCTATGTTGTTGTTTGCAACAGTATTCACTCATCAAAGATGTTGTGTCATCTCTGAAACGGCATCGGATGCATGAACAGCAGTTTAACCATCCTCCTCTCCTAGTGCTGAACAACTTTGGCATTGAGGGCATGCACATCAAGGTTATGGCCACGATGTTCCAGAACATGTTTCCCTCCATCAATGTTCACAAAGTAAGTATATTCAAGCTTGGAGATTGGGAAGCTAAGTGGGTGACTAGTTTGCTGCTCAGATTCCTCTAGTCTGATTCCTGCCCTTGTGCTAACTTTGCTGCCTAAAAATTGAAGTGGGGGATAGAGCTAAATCTCATCCAGGAGGATCTCATCCCTCTAATAGGCATACAACAATGGTAGATGAAACCTACATTTTAGCATAATTATTTGATATACAATTCAACTTCTTGGGGATAATTTTGATCCAGATGCAAGTGATGATAGCGTATATTGGATGACAATTTTCTGTGATTTCCTTCCAAAGTAAACGCACTGATGCATCAACCCGTTATCACCCATTTTCGCTCGATATTTGATGCTTCTAACACAGTCCTAGTTAACTTTGGATTGCAAATTTTATAAATGCAGAAATGGAAGAGAGTTATTTACTTTTGAATTTCCTTCCTCCCCTCCTCCTTCCCCCTCCCTAAGTTAAATGTAGTCCCCTCTTTGAGTTGCACAGATATTATTCAAATATATCTAGTGGTCATCTCTAACGGCAGAAGGGAGAGAGGGGAAACATAGAATAAAACTCATTCCCACTGCCTGGGTTAAATATGGTTTTAGTCAACTTGGAAAGAAATTTGTTTTTTGAGAACCTGGAGTTGGAAAGTATGGACATAAGATGCTCCAGAAACATTTTTCAAAAATGTTTAGTGAAGAAAATAGGGATTTTTCTGAGTTTTCATTTATCTCTCCTCCCAGAATTTTTTAAATCAGTGATATTTTAGAATAGGATAAGAACTCTTGAGCTTGGAAATTCGATCATTAGCATCTAGTTTGAGTACTGGTAGTTGGCAGCTGGAAAAACTTAACCTCAGGTTGCTTTTCAAGAAAGGGCTTGAGCCTTAGTCTGAATCCTCAGTCTCACCCTGTGTGCCTTTCTTTTTCCCTACCTATCAGGTCAGTTTAAATACCATCAAACGCTGTGTCCTGGTCAATTACAATCCTGACACCCAGATAATGGAATTCCGTCACTAGTAAGTGGGTTTTGATTTCTGCCCTGTGCCACTCTTGTTTCTGATGGTTTGAAATAGGCTGCATGGGGATTCCTGATGTGAAATGTGTTGTATTCATATTCATTAATATGCTCACAATTCGATGGTGCAACATGAATACACACTCAGGGAAAAGAGGGATTTGTAGGGTCTTCGGTACTTTTTGGTAAGCTGGAAGCTGAGAGGAACCTGTGTCCTTTGTTTGTTTCATGCTCGCTCTGGGTCCATGTCCCACACCAGCATTCCCTAACCTCGTTTCTCCAGATGAACTGGATTCCAGTCCCCATGGTCCTCAGCCAGCTGGGGGTAGGGGGAGATGGAAGTTATAGATCAGTGTATTGGGGAAATGGAGGAAAGGCTTTCCTACTGTCCACAGTGGCTCTAACGTGACTGCAGATTCCATTGCAGACACAAACAAGGTCCTGTCTAAGCTGGATGCAGGTGATGAGAGTATAGTCTGCTGATGTGCCTCTGATTTTATATTTCAGTAAACGCTCTGATGTGTCCAAGCCAATTAGAAATGGACTCTTTTTTAATGATGGGTGGGCGCAGTTTTTTTTTTTAATGAGCTCAGAAATATTTCCTCTTTTTATCATACAAACCCAGAATTCCCCTGTCAACAAAACAAAGAAGGAAAGTCATCAAAATATTGGTGTCTGAATTACTAACTAGTATCTGTTCCTTAACATTTAAGGCAGTTTGCTGAACAATATAAATAGTAAGTAAATGGGAAATTAAATACAAAACTCTATGCAGATTTTCAAGGAATCCTCTGATTAAGCGTCCTGACTATAAAAAATATTTAAGCAGTTATAGAAACAAAGCGAAGCGAACTCTTCAGACTATTTTACATCTGACCAAATAAGTATCTTTCCAAATTTGTATCATTTTGTTTTGCAATTGTAAAGCACACAATATCGATCTTGATCATCTTCTTAATGTTTAAATTGCTGGCATGTAATTCAAGAGGAATTGGGACCTGCAAAAACCAGGATAAAGCTAATATGTGAAAGGAAGATTCCCAAATGAGAAATTACTCTCTCAGATGATCCAGTCTTCTTTTTCTGAGCAGGTCTTTCATTTTACATTAACATCGAGAACCATATCAGTTAGAAAACTTAAACAACAGTGGGGTGAAGTCAGAGAGCTATATAGGTTTTGGGTTCTCCACTTATGGCTGAAGGGTCTCGTTTATTTCAGAGTTTGTGTAAAAATTGTTTCTTGTTAATATGAGAACAAGAATAGAACTTCCTGATGTGCTATGCAATCCTTTCTTGCCTTGCATAATGTTGGTAATTAAACCATTAATTTAATACTGACTGCCTTTCCCAGCCTTATATACTAGATCTGTTGGATTGTAACTCCCAGAATTTCCAGATGGCATGGCTATTAATAATTGTAGAGCAACACATCTGAACATTCACATCAGTTTGAAGACTGATCTACTCTAATAATGGTTCTCATTTTCCTTGGCTAGAAGAATGGTCTTTCTCAGGTCTGATACCATGGAACCTTCACTTGGAGAGATACCAGGGCTACCTCTCCTTTTCCTCACCCCAACACTGTTGTAGTGAAATGTGGTTTTTTTTCCTGATGAAATCTGCTCGTCTCTTGTATTTTGCAGCAGCCTGAAAGTAGTGCCAGTGGGCATGAGCAAAGGGTTGAAGAAGCTCCTGCAAGAGAAATTTCCTAACATGAGCCGCCTGGATGACATCAGTGAATTGTTGGTGAGGTGAGAAAGAAAAAGCTGTCTTCCTGTGTCTTTCATCTAGATTTTAGCTTCCTTTTGAATCCAGGGGGCAATTCAGCAAAGGTGTGAGATGGTTTGAAGGCAGGGCTGGGGTTGTATATTTTACAGTATGTGCACTCATTTGCATATACGGTAAAATATCCTACCCCCTGCCCCTCCCAACTTCAGTCAGTACCAGGCTCACTGGGGTTTGTAGTTTAAAACATCCCAGAGCGGGAATTATTTTGAGTGCTGATAGTCATGCTAGAAAGAACAAAAATGTGTTGTTTTGTTGCCTTGACCTGTAGAGACATCAATCTCTCTGAGAGCGAAGCTGAGCAAGATGGCAGCCACAATATCACAGAGCTGCCTCAGGCCTGCGCTGGTCGTGGGAACATGAAGGCTCAGCAGAGTGCAGTCCGGCTCACCGAGGTTGGTCAGGAATATGGTACTTGAGAGTTGTGAGAGAGTGTTAAAAGACTGGAAACGCTTTATGGACTTTGCATTGAAAATAGAAAAGAGTGAAGGGATAATAAATGGATTTGACTGAAAAAAGACTAAGTAAAAAAATGAAGGGATTTTTTTTTTTGTAAAATCAAAGAGGGAGGAGGGATGATGAGTTTATTTATAACTTGTAAAGAAGGTCACAGCTGCTTAGTTTTTCTGATTCTTGTTTACTTTCTAGGTTTTGCTTTTTGTTCTCTGTAATTTTTTTTCTTTACATTAGTCTTTCACTTATGTAAAAGTTCTTAATGATTCTACTAAAAAAAGTTGGGTGAACATGGATGTAGCATGATGGGGCCAGGTATAGCGGAACACGGAGCACTTCTGATCCTTTGATCAGGGGTCGACAACCTTTTGGACCTCAGGGATCACCAAACTCATAATATGAATGTTGACTGATGGTGGCTTGCTGACGTTGGTGGGAAAGTCGGTCCCATATTCCAGAGCTGCAGTAGTCACAGGACTGGTCATCCCAGAGCAACTACTGCTCCACCCAGGTGCACCGGCCTGCCATGGACTGGAGGAGCTGCTCCAGGATGACCAAAGGGCCAGTCCTGTGACTACTGCAGCTCTGGAATATGGGACCGGCTTTCCCACCAACATCAGCAATACACCCTGGGTGGATTTCCCTCCCATGCCATTGGTCTTACCTTCCAGTTCCAGCTCACATGGCTCTACTCAAAGTAAGGTTTGTGCTCAGCGGAAGGGGGGGGGCCGGGGGGTGGGCGGGCCATGTGGGCGGTGCAACCTGCAGCCTGGATTAATTGCTTTGGGGGACGGGACATTTCTCTGCGGACCACCAAAATTTTCTCACGTACTACCAGTGGTCCCTGGCCCACTGGTTGGCGACCACTGCTCCAGATGATTTGCTCTGATCATCTGGCTTTGGAATCCCTCCCCCGAGAGCTTCAGCCTTTCTTCGTTTCTGCTCAAGATGCCTGAATTTGAATTTCTGTGTCACTTGTGTGTGGTCTCCTGTCTAGATTGGCCCTCGCATGACATTGCAGCTCATCAAGGTGGAAGAAGGACTAGGTCAAGGCAATGTACTCTACCATAGCTTCAGTAAGTATGGTGACTCTTCTGTCTTGGTTCTTCTGTTGAAGAGCAGAACCAGAGTGTTCATGGAGGTATATTCAAGAACACCTCTCCTATGGTGGTATATTGTATGACTTAGAGGAAAATCGGAGGATAGTGTGATTAGTGCAGTTACTGTTCCAGTACTGTTCAAACACTTCTCCCTTTTTGCAAGATTCTTTCAACTGGAGCAAGAGTTTTGGGGAGATCAGTGTTGGGCTTTGATGAACGTGTATCGTGAACCTGTTTTAAGAAACCTGAGAGGGCTAGGCTTGGATATTTCCATTTTTCAAAGCTGTGTGTATGTGAGAGAACTGAACCCACCCATTTAATAACTTCGGCCTCCAAAACATCCAAGGCCAAATTCAGTGTTGTAGCTCCCCTGCAGTTCAGGTCCTCTGCTTGATCACTTCCAACCTTGAAGGGAGTGTAAATTAAAGGGTTGTAAAGTTTTAGGCAGATCCAGTTTTTTGGGGGGGTGGGGTGTCTGTTGTGGGTGTATACTAGATCTTTAAGAAAATGCCATTGGTCTGAGGCACAGCTAGTTTTATGCAAGTACATTCATCAAATCCTCGAGCTCAGCATTTTTAGACCATCAAGCATCAACTTGCAGTGCTCAGTGCAGGTCCACCTAATTAAACAATCCCACACAGATCATTTCTAACCTCTGTTTATACATAGATACTGAAAGGGGATCCACTTCCACCTCTCTGGCTAGATCAGAGGTCTGCAACCTTAAACACTCAGAGGCATTCGGACCCATTTTCCACAGGAAAACATACACACACACAAACATGGGTGGGTGTGGCCAACTCAATGTCACTCATTCCCACCCAGTCACATGACCCCCTCCAGCCACGCCTATCCAGCCACAAACCCCTTCTCTCTAGCTCTCTCTCCCCCCTCTCTATATCTATCTCCCCCTCTCTCCAGAGCCACAGCAGAGGGCCCAAAGAGCTGCATGCAGCTCTGGAGCCGCGGGTTGCCGACATCCGGGTTAGACGGCTCTTCTTTTGAGCTTCTCTATAAAGAACATTTGCTGTCTCATTTCCAGGTTGGGCAAATAAAATTCTTCCAAAACACTACAGAGTCAGTACACTATCAGTCAGCATATTTAAATAGTTGAATGAATGATCTACCATTGCAAGGTAGCTCCCTGTTTTCCTGTAAATAGATCCTGTCTTTCAGCAGTCAAAACATTTCTGAGACTTAACTCAGTTATTGCTGTGCATGTTGTTGCTCATCATGGCAAAGAGACGTTGCCTGCCCCCTTGGGTGCCTAAAGGCCCACCTAAGTGAATGAGGGGGGAAGTTAACGGCCTGACCTTAGTGACCCTTCCCTGTGCAGTTTCCCGTTGATTAATGTCCTGTGCCTTCTCCCAGTTCACAAGACGGAAGAAGAGATCCGAGAAGCCTTGGCCAGAAAAGAAGAAAAACTGAAGCTCAAGGCTCAACGGCGCCAGAAGCAAGAGGCAGATGTGGCCAACAAAAAAGCACTAAAGCAAGCTCATCGGTAAGGGGAGGGGAGAGCAGGCCCTCAACCCAGGAAAGCTTCTTTCCCAGGTGTATGTTTCTCCCAGAGCCTAAATGGGAGCAGGGAACGTCCCTTTGGGTTGAGAAGATCGATTCTTGGGGCACTCATGGAAATTCTCCTTGGCTACAGCAAGAAGAGTCTGGCGGGGATGAAGAGGAAGACGGACCAAGCGGTAGGGGGAGACAGTGATGCCGAGGACCCTGGAATGCAGGAGCAGCAAAATGTAGATGAGCCCTCCGATGATGATGTGGAATACTACCGCCAGGAAGTTGGGGAGGAGCCGGATGAAGGTCAGTGCCTTCTTAGGAGGCTTTTAAACTAGAACAATTTTGGAGGTGGGCATAGTTGCTCACAACCTGAACCTTGGTTCTCTAAAGTAACCCTCTGAGGCATCTGTCCTGGGAAGAAGGAGGAGCGTGTGGCTTCTCAGCTCAGTTGGGACTGGCAGTCATTGTTTAGTCTAAGCCAGGGGTGTCCAACCTTGGCAACTTTAAGACTTGTGGACTTCAACTCCCAGAATTCCTCAGCCAGCTTTCCTCAGCCAGCTTTCCTCAACCAGTTTTTAGCAAAGCTGGCTGAGGAATTCTGGGAGTTGAAGTCCACAAGTCTTAAAGTTGCCAAGGTTGGACACCCCTGGTCTAAGCCAAGAAGCAGCAGCATTCTTTTTTTTCTTTTTTTTTGGCAGATTCACATTTTATCCTCAGCAAGAGAGGCTGTCTTGGCACTTTTAATTGCAAATACAGGTGCAGGAGGGAGAATTTGGGGAGGGCCAGATTTCCCAACAGCCCCATCTCAAGCTTTCCTCTTGGTTCTCATAATGCTAAAAGCTGTGTCTTTTTTTTTTCCTGAGGCTGTTTTTCTTTCTGTGTGGGCTGTGACTTCCTACTTGAAGACCCTATGATCTAAATTGTCACTATTGCCTTAAGATCATTCTTTTAAAAAGTAAGTGCCGAGTATAAAAATGACTCTTCTTAACTGCTGCTTTTATTGTGCTCCACTCTTTCTAGACTTGTTCCCACAAAGCACAAAGAGGAGACGAAGGCTCAGCCAATCCACCACGCCCAAGAAAAAGTGCAAATACATGCGTTCGGTGCAAGATCAGAGTCAAGAGCGTACGGGGGGCAAAACCACAATGAAGCACAAGAAGGCTTCACAGCCTGGTAGGCAACCGAGGCAGCCACAAAGAGGCACTTCTCAACACTGCCAGGGAAAGCTGAGCCAGCAGCAGCAGAGAAATACAAGGCAGCACAGGAAGCCACAGAACCTACAGCGGAAGCAACAACCCCAGGCTGCAGGACAGCCCAGAGGCAAAAGACAGGCTGGCTTTAGGCCTCCGGGATCACGATGGCAAGGAAAATCTAGACTGGGGCAGAAGCAGGCCTTCAAAGGAAAAAGCACCTTCCGAAAAGCAAGGCATTCAAAAAAGCAGAAGTCAGCATAATGTCCTGAACCTCTTGCGTAGTCTTTGTGATGTACTGGCTGTTTTATAAAACATATATTGACTTCCATAATCTGCCTCCTCTTCTTTTTGGGTTGGACTTGTACATGCTTTGATGTGGGATTGATTGGAAGTGCCAGAAAAGAAAAGAGCAGTTGAACAAAACCTTTTTTAAGAGGACTTGAGCACTTTGGAAGAGGATAAAATAAGGAACAGATGGCCATTTCTTTGAGGGTTAAAATTTTTCTACTGCAATGTAGCAGGTTTCTAAGAAAATAGTTTTTGTTTAATAATGTACAACCAAGGTGGCAAAAATGGATATCCCTGCCAATTTTAATCAGCAGGATTCTTTTCTTTAGCAATAATCTCCACTTTTAAATTCCTGGTTCTCCCACAAAGGTTTTCAAAGGATACTGTTAGGGATACACCCTAGCAGAATGTGCACAGCAGTCAGGCAGACAGGCAAATATGTGAGATAAACGTTTTTGTAGCTTACACTCAGTAAAACAGATACACTGTGCTAGTTAAATAGTTTATTCCAGGAAGAGTCCATATATCATTCACTAGTTCAGTCCATCCGGGGATTATTCAGTTGCAAAGTCCAGTGTCGAAAAAGAGGTCAGTAAACTTACAAATACCAGTCCAGTAATATATCTCCTCGCAGTAGAGATATGGATAAGTCAAACCTCTTTTCTTCCTTCGACGTTCAAAAACTCAGCAGCAGGGAACATGCAGTTAGCAAACCAGCAATCCAGCAGGTTCTCTTGTTCCCTCTTATGGCGGTTTCACAACCGCACCCAAAAATTACACGCTTTGCAGTTTAAAGTGACACACACTTAAACTTACTATCATAGTTTATATATATTATTTTACCCAAACTACGTTAGGTAACCTTGTTATTCCTAACAGATACCAAATATATTTGGCTGCTTTGTGGGCAGCTGCAGCTCTTCAGAGAATAATTTGTAAAATTATCCCTGGTTAAACTCTTAGTTCATCCAAAATGTAGGGACAGGTTTGCAAAAATATATCCTAGTTGTATTCAGGGGCTCTACATAATTCCATCTGTGGAAGTAAATACAGGTGATCCTTGACTTGCAGCCATTTGTTTAGTGACTGAAGTTTTGATGGCACTGAAAAAAGTGACTTATGACTCTTTTTCACATTTATGACTGGCAGCATCCCCATGGTCACTTGATCAAAATTCGGATGCTAGGCAACTGGCTTATATGAGTGATGGTGTGTTCTGCGGTCATGTGATCACATTTTGCGACCTGGGAGGCAAAGTCAATGGGGAAACCAGGTTCACTTTATAACTGTTCCTAACTTAACAGCTGCATGATTTATTTAGCAACTGTGGCAAGGAAAGTGGTAAAAGGAGGAAAAACCCAACTATCTTAGCAACAGAAATTCTGGGCTCAATTGTCATAAATTGAGCACTTAACTGTACAAGGATTTTATTTTTTGATCAGTGTTGACACCTGGTGACTGGACAAAGATCCTACTACAGTTTTCTTAGCAAGGTTTTGGAAGTGGTTTACCATTTCCTCTTTCCTAGGCTGAGAGAGAGAGTGACTGATCCAAAGCCATTCAGTTGCCTTTGTGCCTAGGGTGGGACTAGAGCTCACAATTGCCTGGTTTATAGCCAGATCCCTGAACCGCTACACCAAATTGGCCCTCTAGCATTATAAAACTTTATGGTTTTGATATGGCAATTTGACATCTGATGTAATAACAGCTTTTAGACTGAATTTTAAGACAGTTTAAGTTAGTAAATCAACTCATGATTAATAAAGATTGATATACCTATAGAATGCAGTTTTCTAGAACTAATTTTTTTTAAAAAATCAAACCTAATACATCAAATTTATGAAAAAATACATGATAAATATTTTACTATTAGAAAAAATGATTACCATTTCTGAGATATAGAACATGTTGCTTTCAAAGGCCGGGCAAAGCAGTGTACAGGAGTCCCTACAACAACTACTCACAGGAATAAAAATGTAAATGGTCGATAAACATATTTGCATGTTAGTATTAAATAAAAATGCAATAAAATGTGATAAATAAGTTGCTGTATTTATATAAGGTGCATCGAAGGGTTAACATACACAGATTAGTATGAGGCCCCTATAGTCGTGGAGCCCATGGGCAAGTGCCCATCAGGCCCATGCATTAAGACAGCCCTGGTTGCTTTCAACATGTTTTAAAACAATGACTGACAGTTCCTTATTTTAGTCATTGAACAATAAAAAATAGAATCAATAAAATGAACAACACGACACTATCCCCTAACAAGAATTATTAGCAATCACTTGTAAGCAATGTGATATAATTGTAAAATAAAAAAAATCCAGAGATTGCCATGACTCTGAATTTTGAATCCTAACATCCTTATCATAAACACAGATGTTTAAATCCCACTAGTTGCAAACCTAGGCAGCACACATACACAACATGGGGTTCTTTGAACTGATTATTTTATTCTATTCTCCGGCAAGACTCCAATCAACTTTAAAGTTCATTCAAATTCCGGATGTGGTTAGGGTCAAAACCAACTTTTTCCATTGCTGTAACTGTTTTCACACCAAGTACCACATTTCTGTTTTGCCTGATGATTGCTGCAGTCTTCAAAAATGACAATATTGGTGGTGGAACTGAGTCAAAATAAGGCCTCTGCTTATCTCTGGTTTTTTGAGATGGGCTGAATTTGGGGATTAAATCAGCTAAAGTATCCTTTCAGAATTCTATAATTTCAAATAGCATTTTAGTGGGGCTTTTTTTAAAGCCAAAAATGCCTCTCAAGTCTTATTTGACTAAATGCAATAAACCTTTGTTAACAGATGTCCACAAGACTTTCTTCTCTTCTCAATTATTTTTTTAAAACCCTGCTTTTTGTAGCTGTATTCAAAAGTGTGATATGGAATGACATCGAAGATCTTGGAGCTAAGATAGCTGCTTCTTAATCATATTTATCAGTAGCTTAATTCTTATCTCACAGTCTCCTAAATTATCCATGGAGCTTAAAATTATGAACAGTTAGGATTTCAGAAAAAGGCAATCCTTTTTCAGCTCTGGGATTTTACTCCTTGTTAGACTGTCAGCCTATTGTCATTCTAGGATCCCTCCACCTCATTCTGTCTTGTATGCTTTTCCTTTTTTTAGCATATTGCCACATGCAAAAAAGCCATAAAAGGCCTTTCCATTGTGTAACACAGGTTCTTTTATTTAATCATGATTCATCTACTTCCTCATGTGCAGTTTCAGAATCTACAAGATAACACACTACCACATTTTGAATAGAGACTTCACAACTTCCTTGCAGTAAGGGAAGATACGACTGACTCCCTTCTATATGGAATCGACTGGAAGCTGGATTAGGTAGGTATATTGTGATACTATTTAAATAGCTACTCTTTACCTTAGTGTTCTCCAGATGTATTTGTCTACATCCCCCACTATTTCCAACAAGATTGCCTAGAGATGATGAGAACTGTAGTTTTACACACACAAAAAAGGAGGGCAAGTCAGAGAACACTGATGTAATGCTGCCTATTTCAGAGTAATGCAGGAAGTCTGTCTCGACTGCTTAAGCTTTGTAATCAGATGATATACCCAAGATACTACAAACAAAAGTTTTCAGAAGGTCAGAATTGGAAGGGACTTTAGAGGTATACTAATCCAATCCCCTGCTCAAGTAGGGGACTCTACACCATTTCAGACAAGTGTCTGTCCAGTCTCTTTTTGAAAGCCTTCAGTGATGGAGCACCCACAATGTCAGCCTTCAAGATTTCCCCCCATTGCTTTGCATCTTTCAGCTGTCATAAGTAACGGGGGAGGATGGGGGAAAAGTATGGGAAGTGAGCTGGAGGTGTTACAAGCGAGAACTGTATAAACTGGGGGTGGGGGTGGAGAGTACATTCTTGCTTAGGTTTCTATTCCTTGCTTAGCTTTCGATGCTATGCGCAGCTGCAAACCTTTATCAAAGTATGCCAAGGTCAACCGACAGAAGCCTCATCACCACCTGGAGATGTCCACATGATGATATTCACAACTTTTAATTGGAAGAAGCATTTGAACTATTGGGGGTGGGAACATTGCCATTGTTTTGTATATGTGATTTGTGCGCCTATTTTCTCAGATTCAGAATTCTTTTGTTGCTACCACTTGATCTCCAGTAAAAGGCAAGTTGTTCCACCTGTCGATTGTTCTCGCTGTCAGGACATTTCTTCTTAGTTCTGGGTTGCTCCTCTCTTTGATTAGTTTCCATTCATTGCTTTTTGTCCTGTCTTCGTGTGTTTTGGAAAATTCTTTGTGGCAGCCTTTCAAATATTGGGACACTGCTATCATCTGATCCTTCTTTTTACCAGACTAGCCATAACCAATTCCTGCAACTGTTCATCATATGTTTTAGTCTCCAGACCCCTCATCGGCTTTGTTGTTGTTCTCTGCATTTTTCCCAAAGTCTCAAAAAGGTTTCTGAATTGTGTTAGTCAATGTGCCCTCTATTTCCTAGGTTTCCTTTGTTCCTTGATTTGATTGCTCCTTGCCAATTTTGCAAAGTGAGTCTTTAAAGGTGGAATAGCTTGGAATTTTTTTTTTGGTGGGGGGGAAGTCTGGCCATTTGGGATATTTGTAAGTATGATGTGCTGGAATGTGCAGTTGGAGAAGAAGGCAATTGCACGGTGGCTTGCCAGGGAGGAGACAATACATTTTCAAAAGAGGGACCCACAATAAAAGCTTGTGCAGTCCTGAACTGGATAAGGAAAAGATTCAGGATTGCATAGAATCATCCAGGGTACATCTACCTTGTTTCCCTGAAAATTAGACCCAACATAAAAATTTATTTATTTTTGGTCACCAAAATAAGCACCAGGGCTTATTTTGGGGGAGGTCTTTTTCTTTGTTGTTGCTGCAACAGAACAGGAGGTGAGGTGGTGGTGGAGGACGAAACGATGCACTGGTGCTGTGGCCACTAAGCGAGGTGGTGGTGGTGGGTGGAGGATGAAGTGAGGCGGGGTGTGTGGAGCTGTTCCATGCACCCCACATTGGTTTATCAGAGGGCCC